TTCCTCACCCTGCCTCAGGGCAAAGGTCCTCCCTTTTCTCACCCTGCCTCAGGGCACAGGTCCTACCTTTTCTCACCCTGCCTCAGGGCACAGGTCCTACCTTTTCTCACCCTGTCTCAGGGCACAGGTCCTACCCGTCCTCATCCTGCCACAGGGTGAGGAAGGGTAGGATCATTCTGTTGACGCAAATCGTGACAAGTCACGGACGAGGCCTCTGGTACAATAATGGTGACAAGTCACGGACGAGGCCTCTGGTACAATAATGGTGACAAGTCACGGACGAGGCCTCTGGTACAATAATGGTGACAAGTCATGGACGAGGCCTCTGGTACAATAATGGTGACAAGTCATGGACGAGGCCTCTGGTACAATAATGGTGACAAGTCACGGACGAGGCCTCTGGTACAATAATGGTGACAAGTCACGGACGAGGCCTCTGGTACAATAATGGTGACAAGTCATGGACGAGACCTCTGGTACAATAATGGTGACAAGTCATGGACGAGGCCTCTGGTACAATAATGGTGACAAGTCATGGACGAGACCTCTGGTACAATAATGGTGACAAGTCACGGACGAGGCCTCTGGTACAATAATGGTGACAAGTCATGGACGAGGCCTCTGGTACAATAATGGTGACAAGTCATGGACGAGACCTCTGGTACTATAATGGTGACAAGTCACGGACGAGGCCTCTGGTACAATAATGGTGACAAGTCATGGACGAGGCCTCTGGTACAATAATGGTGACAAGTCATGGACGAGGCCTCTGGTACAATAATGGTGACAAGTCATGGACGAGGCCTCTGGTACAATAATGGTGACAAGTCATGGACGAGGCCTCTGGTACAATAATGATGACAAGTCATGGACGAGGCCTCTGGTACAATAATGGTGACGAGGCCTCTCGCACAATAATAGTGACGAAGTCTCTGGTACAATAATGGTGACGAAGTCTCTGGTACAATAATAGTGACGAAGTCTCTGGTACAATAATAGTGACGAAGTCTCTGGTACAATAATACATCTCATGTTTCCAAAGAGAAATATTTAAGGTTGTACAAGAGTGGGAGAGATAGGAGAGATGAGAGTGAAAGTGACCTAACTGCAGCTGTATGCGAGACCTGTATGCGTCCTGCCCCTAATGTTAAACACCTGCACACTCTAACACCTGTAATGGTTATGAAAGCTAAACATTGAGAGTTATGATAGTCCCTTTAACATGTGCTGTGACAACCATTAACATGGAATGTTGGAACTGTTTGTCTGTCTGTGTGTCTTACAGTCTTTTGTCTTCCAGGTACAGCACCACCTGTAATAAACACTCCAGGTACAGCACCACCTGTAATAAACACTCCAGGTACAGCAACACCTGTAATAAACACTCCAGGTACAGCACCACCTGTAATAAACACTCCAGGTACAGCACCATCTGTAATAAACACTCCAGGTACAGCACCACCTGTAATAAACACTCCAGGTACAGCACCATCTGTAATAAACACTCCAGGTACAGCACCACCTGTAATAAACACTCCAGGTACAGCACCACCTGTAATAAACACTTCAGGTACAGCACCACCTGTAATAAACACTCCAGGTACAGCACCACCTGTAATAAACACTCCAGGTACAGCACCACCTGTAATAAACACTTCAGGTACAGTACCACCTGTAATAAACACTTCAGGTACAGCACCATCTGTAATAAACACTTCCAGGTACAGCATCACCTGTAATAAACACTTCCAGGTACAGCACCACCTGTAATAAACACTCCAGGTACAGCACCACCTGTAATAAACACTCCAGGTACAGCACCACCTGTAATAAACACTCCAGGTACAGCACCACCTGTAATAAACACTTCCAGGTACAGCACCACCTGTAATAAACACTTCAGGTACAGCACCACCTGTAATAAACACTCCAGGTACAGCACCATCTGTAATAAACACTCCAGGTACAGCACCACCTGTAATAAACACTTCAGGTACAGCGCCATCTGTAATAAACACTTCAGGTACAGCACCATCTGTAATAAACACTCCAGGTACAGCACCACCTGTAATAAACACTCCTGGTACAGCACCATCTGTAATAAACACTTCCAGGTACAGCACCACCTGTAATAAACACTCCAGGTACAGCACCACCTGTAATAAACACTTCAGGTACAGCACCACCTGTAATAAACACTCCTGGTACAGCACCATCTGTAATAAACACTTCAGGTACAGCACCACCTGTAATAAACACTCCTGGTACAGCACCATCTGTAATAAACACTTCAGGTACAGCACCACCTGTAATAAACACTCCAGGTACAGCACCATCTGTAATAAACACTTCCAGGTACAGCACCACCTGTAATAAACACTCCAGGTACAGCACCACCTGTAATAAACACTTCAGGTACAGCACCACCTGTAATAAACACTCCAGGTACAGCACCATCTGTAATAAACACTCCAGGTACAGCACCACCTGTAATAAACACTTCAGGTACAGCACCACCTGTAATAAACACTCCAGGTACAGCACCACCTGTAATAAACACTCCAGGTACAGCACCACCTGTAATAAACACTTCAGGTACAGCACCACCTGTAATAAACACTCCAGGTACAGCACCACCTGTAATAAACACTCCAGGTACAGCACCACCTGTAATAAACACTCCAGGTACAGCACCACCTGTAATAAACACTGTACTTGTTACCATACCTAAGAACTGTCAAGCTTCTGTGTCCTCCACTGACAACTACAGAACTATTGACCTAAACGGACTATGAACGCACTTTAGCGCGCCCGACAAACAACAACAAAAATAGTGCAAAGTGCTCCTGGTGTTTTGGGTGATCGAGCGGCAACCCGGAAAAGTGTAAACTCTTTTCACTGTCCTGACCTTAATTTTCTACGTACGTATTTCATTTTTGTACCAATGTGTTTGCAATAGAATGTTGTAGAAGAACATATGTATAAAGTGTCACACAAGGATGCGTTAGACCGGCACCAAATAAAGAATCTTCGTCGATCACTAGCCGTGAGCTCCAAACAGCGACGAGATGTTTTCATTCTTTTCAGGGTTGTCAACTCCACACTTGTCCTACAGCGTTAAGTTTGGTATCTTTGGGATTACAATAAAATTCTCTACACGGACATATGCATATAAATGTAGAATCATGGTAGCGGCCCACCCGCAAGAGTGTGGGAAGTAGGCGAAGTGTTACCTGTTACCGGATATTAGTGAAACCAGTATTGAAAAGTGAATATTCTTTTCACTGTCCTGACGTTAATTTTCTACGTACGTATTTCATTTTTGTACCAATGTGTTCGCAATAGAATGTTCTAGAAGAACATATGTATAAAATATCACACAAGGATGCGTTAGACCGGCATCAAACAAAGAAACTTCGTCGCTTACACTCGCCATGTCCACAATACAATAGTTCTACCACGAAGATACAAGACAATTCCGTTCTCTTAAATAGGCTATGTGTCTAATAAAGAAAACGTAAATTAAAAGTTCATGGCAAACATCTTCATAGTATCCACAAGTCGATCGGATAGGAATTGAATTTTTTAGAAATATTTGTTCATCAGACATAAAAATATGTGGCTCGCTCAGATTCAAGAGAAAAATAGTTGTCCCAATTTTGTGCCCGCAGGGAAGTAAAGTGATAACACTTTACTCCCCCACTAAACACGAATAACACTAAATTAAACAAAGAACTTGATTACTTACTGACGTTCCAGCTGACCAACTGGACGCCTCTGACCTTCAGTTTGCATACAGAAATGGTTGCTCAGTCTCGTGTCCTCCTAATAGCACGTCGCATTTTGACGTATACTTTACCTAAAGCCAAAAATTGTCGCATTAGAAAATGGTAGCAGCTCACGCAATTGATATCATATGCCTTTTTCTGTTCGTGAGTCGTCTGGTAGGTTAGGATAAGGCACTTCAGTACGACAGTTCTTGACGTTGGGAACGCTCGCGAGAACAGGTTGACTCAACAACGCTCTGTAGTTTCATGGTGGCGGAAACGATTCAGTTCTACAACTCGTAAGGTAGTTCTGTTCTCTCTTTATTTCCTGATGCTTCCAAAGCTTTTGAAAAAGTTGCATGCATCAAATTTTTAGAGAATTGCTTAACAGAGAAGTATGCCCTGTCATTACTAGATTATTTATATATTTCTTATGAGGTATGTATATTAGCTGTGAATTGGAGTATTGTCCTCTATGAATATTTCTTCCTAAAAATGGAGTCAAACAAGGTGCAGTGTTTAGTCCTATATCATTTGTTGTCTATCTTGATCCCAAGAGCCATAAGCTGGCTGTCACACAGGCAGTATTACGGCCAATGTTTCTGTTATGCTGATGATCTAGTTCTACTCGCACCCACCAAAGATGCTATGGACGCCTTGATAGGAATATGTGAAAGATATAGTGCAGAATACAACCTAACGTTGAATCCTGCCAAGTGTGCCCTAGCTTGTTTTAACTCACTGGATACAATTTATATTGATCCCAAATTATATTTACTAAGCAGAGATTTCTGTAAAGTATACTGACAAATATCTGTGGCATATTATATCCTCAAAGGGGCAACTTTTCAAATTTTGTTATGCTATTAGAGACCTAAAGTTAGAACAAATGTCATTAGGAGTAAATTCGGTCATCTTAATATCTTTCAAACGTAAGGTTATTTAGCACTCAATATTTAAGCCTGTATAGATGTGAACTATAGGACCAACAAAAGGCTGATCTTGGTATGCTTAATTGTGAATGGAGGAAATGTTCAAGGCGAATCTTGGGTGTCCATCCTCGCACTCATTGTTATCTCATATCAGGCATGATGTGCACACCCACACGTAAAGAAATTACGTTAACGAAACCACACATCAGAAGATGGAGAAACGACGACGTTTCGGTCCGTCCTGGACCATTATCAAGTCATGTGTTTGATACACACGACTTGATAATGGTCCAAGACGAACCCAAATGTCGTCGTTTTCCCATCTTCTGATGTGTGGTTTGGTCATCATGTCTTCAGCACCGTTACTGTGATTCATCGTCTGCAAATGGAGAAGTTGTTTACAAAGAATTATATATTTTTGTGTGAAGGGAATCACTAATCCAGCAAACTCAATCAATTCTTTTTTCAGGCACTCACTTGTCACTGGCCACTCCAACTTTTCCAGAAATATAAACTTCATTGCCAGGAAACACAACTTAAGAATAAGTGATGTATATAATGGTGCAGCAGATATACATTATAGAATAAAGCAACTGACTGGTCAGCAGAGAAAGCAGGAAGACCCCAGCTGGATAACAGAGATTTTGAAGGAACTTCCGTCGTAAAGAGACGACCAACTGACAGGCATCTTGAGTGCTATGGAAGTCAGGTCTATGTTACAGTGTTGGGAGAGATTTTGCTCTGGGTTACCCCTAGAATCTGATTGTATTCTCATCGTCTACTTTTGTAATATAAAATGTGGCAATATTTCTCACTGCTCTAATGGTAAACAACGCTTTATTTTCCCAACATATATCACTTCTCAAACTGTAAGCTAAATGTTACTCACTATTAGCCAAGATGTAAGGTCTGATTTAGACTAATGTACTCCTGTTTAGTTCATTCATTATTGAAACCATTTGTGTAAGTCGCTACGGAAATAGTTTCTTGTTCTGAATTTGACAATTGTAATATTTTAAAATCATAGATAAATGTAGGTAAATCTAAGCGGGACCAAAGAGCCAGAGCTCAACCCCAACAAGCACAACTATGTGAGTACATCATAAGCACATTAATTTTACATATTTTTTATCTTGTTTATCCCACCGTTATATATTGTTCATTTCTTCATTTGTCAATTACAGTATTGTTTTTTGCTCTTACTTTTATTCTATTGACATAGATTTGAATTTTTAATATTGCTTTTTTATAAATCTAAATTTTTACTGTTACTGTACTTGTAAAAATTATAGAAAGTAGATTTAAAGCAGATTTAGTACTTTACTGTTCTGTAATAGATTACTTGATTGTATCTTGACTCCAGTGTATCTAGATGCAAGCTGATATTGACCCTGAACTAAATCTGCTGTCACAAATCTACAATAACCATCATATTGATCATCACTGCTGCAGGTACTACACAGGGATTCTTGCAAAAAACAAACTCCAAAATAACACAAACCTATTAGTATTCAACCAAAATGTCAGATCACTAGATAAACATTTTGATGACATAAATGCACTACTCTCAGCATTAGGTACTAAACTATCATTCATTATTTTATCAGAAACATGGCTAAGTAAGTTGACCAGACCACACACTAGAAGGTGAAGGGACGACGACGTTTCGAATCGACTTCAGAATGGTCCAGGACGGACCGAAACGTCGTCGTCCTTTCACCTTCTAGTGTGTGGTCTGGTCAACATACTTTAGCCCCGTTATTGTGACTCATCGCCTGCACATGGCTAAGTAAGGACCATACCCAACTTTACAACTTACCCAGTTATAAAGCCATTCACAATTGTTGACCAAATAAAAAAGGAGGTGGCACAGCTATCTATTACTATAACACCTTCATTTTCACTAGTGTTATTAGTGATAGAGACGACTATTGTGAATCTACCTTTGCTCAATTCTCGATTAAATCCCTCAAATCCTCCTTGACAATTGGAGCTATCAATAGGTTTCCCAATACTAATACAACTGCATTCTCAGATCACCTAAGAAATCTAATCATAAACAACAAGCTCAACAAAAATCACGTTATTCTAGTAAGTGACTTCAATATTGACGCGTGTCAACGATATAGACCTCATGTTGACAATTTCCTAAACAGCATGAACTCCTGATTGCTAACCCCCACAATCACCAGGCCCACCCGAATCACTCAAACATCCGCAACAACCTTGGATCACTTATGGAATAACATAACCCCCCTTGCATCTGTTATTATCACTGACAGAACAACTGACCACTATCCAACCATTTTCTTAGTAAACATGGACATAACACCATTGGATACCAAGAAACTTACCCTCAGGTTACACAGCAAAGCAGCAATAGTCAATCTCACAAATGCACTTCACAATGTAAACTTGGAATCTGAATTCAATAATACACAGGATATAAATTCATTAGTCAACACCTTCTTTTCCAAAACTGTATAGCCTCTACAACAGTCATTGTCCTCTCCTCACCAAGCAAATAACTGCCAAAAGATTAAACAACCCCTTGCTCATGAGTGACATACTCAAAGCAATCATCATGAAACATGAATATGAAAAAAACATAGTATTGGCCTAGTTATAAAATACATAGTTAATCAAATTAATTAATTAAGAGATACTCATTAATGCTTACTAGTATAACAGGAAGAACGAAACATTCCTATTATGGGCGTAGATTCAAAGAAGCAAAAGGAAACATGAAAAGCATATTAAGTCAATCAAGGATCAAAACAACAATCACATAACACGCAGATAAAACTCTCCAAGGATGGTTACACACCTGCAACAGACTTAGAAATGACAACTGAATTTAATAGCTTCTTTCCATCTGTTGGTGCTCACCTCGCCAAAAAAAATCCCTCAGACACATGTTACTACATATCTTACCGTTAGCTATCCTAACTATCTTTTCCTTTTACCAGTCAGCTCGACAGATGTTATGTCTGTCATTTACTCACTAAAATCAAAGCTGGGAACACTAGTGAAATACCATCTATGGTTTACACGAGTGCCGTTCATGCACTTGCCCCACCCATAGCTCTGATATTCAACAAATCTCTAGAATGTCATACTTTACCTGATATCCCTAAAAAAGCACGAGTAACTCTATATCTGTAATTATATTTGCTTGATATAATCTACAAGAGGAATTATATCAACTTGATATAATCTACTCGAGTAATTATATCTGCTTGATATAATCTACACAGCCCTTGACAAAAATGAGTTCCCAGTTGGGTTCTTCATTGACCTGAGAAAGGCCTTTGGTACTGTTAACTATAACTACCTCTTACTTAAACTTCTCCATTATGGAATCCGAGGTCTTGCCCTGAACTATATTCTCCTATCTTGGAGACAGACACCAATATGTTGCCATCAATGATATAACCTCCCCCACTCAATCATTATCTGTAGGAGTGCCACAGGGCAGCATTCTAGGACCTCTCCTACTTTTTATATTCACCAATGATTTGCCTAATGTCTCTAACATTCTTAAACCTATGCTATTTGTTGGCGATACTATCTTTTTCTACTCAGACCCCAACCCAAACACACTAGATAATGCTGTAAATAACGAATGAAAAAAGTCCACTCATGGATGTTAACTAACTCGCACTAAACTTGAAAAGTACTTACTACATTTTATTTGGAAGCAAATCATTAAAACTAATTCAACTTCAGGTAGACAAAGTTAACATCAGCAATAAAAATTATGGAAAGTTCCTTGGCCTATACATAGATAAGAGACTCAACTTCAGCACCCACATACAACACATAGCCAAAAAAGGCTCAAAAACTTTACTCTCTAAAATAAAATATTATGTTTCCCACTCTGTTCTCCTTTAATTATACTACTCGATAATCTATCCCTATCTTACATACGGTATCTGTGCATGGGGTTAAATTACTGCAAATTATCTCAAGCCCATCATCACCCAGCAAAAAATACTGCTATCAGAACAATATCTAACTCTATTTTCAGACAACACACAGCCCCTCTTTTTAAATCCCTAAACATGCTGAACATTCATTCAATCCACACATTCTCTTGTCCTATTTACATGTACAAAACCTTGTTCTTAAATGCAAACCCTGTTCTGAAACTCTTCCTGGACAGATGTAATAGAACCCATAATCACCATACCAGAAATAAATATCTCATTGATATACGCAGAGTATTAATGCTTAGTATTAATACAAATAATAGAACATAACTAAACCTGTGTAAACACTCTATGCAAATAAAGAGACCTAGTGTTATGAACCCGACTACATCGTCGGAGTATGGAGTAGCGACGTCAGCTCCATCTGTGAGTCAGCTCTCTAACCCCACAGTATCTGCTGTCATATGGACGACGCCTTCTAGTGGAGACAGTCTGATTCCTGCAAATGGCTCAAGATTCCTGCCTTTGTTAACAAGTGAGGTAGTAGTGAGTGACCTCTGGTGATGTGGCGATTCAAGACCAGTGCCATCTGTTGGAGCTACAAGCAAAATGTCAATGCCCGAGTGTGTATGTTGCTTCCTGGTTTCTCCAGTCCCTATAACTGATGACGTGTCTGTATCCACAGAGGTGACGTGGGGCAGCAGTGGTACTGAGGATGGCCCTGGGTAGCCTAAACTCTCCCAACTTAGTCCCGCCTGAAGGCTAAGTGAGCCGCCGCCGATCAGGAATAGTGTAGTTTCTGCTAGGGGAGTAGTAGCGGAAGAATTCAGCGTATCCTGGGATTGGCTACGGGGAAGAGACGACCGACAGTGAGGTGCCTGTCGAGGAGCATTACTAGCCCGTCGCTAGAGGCTTCTGCAATGTGTGCGATAACCCTGTATTTGTCTGTGTAGAGGCCCCAATCAGCGCTTGGCTGAGGTTCTCTGCCAGCACTTAGCTGGAAAGTGGTTGTGGGCAGAGAGGCCGCTCGTGAGACTGCCGGTAGGCTGGGCCACGGCAAAAGGTAGACTCGCCAGTGTTTCCCAGTACTGTGGCCAGTAAGGTTGGGAATGGTACTGTGTGTTGTGGAAACACGAATATTGACGAAGGCTGCATTGTGTTAGCGTCGTAGAGTGCTCAGTGTGAGACACCTGTATATACATCTATGTGTAGTAATATTTTATTTTAATGTTTTTATTTAAGGTGATGGGAATATATTGGGATCAGTTGTGTTAATCCCCCCTTTTTTATTTATTGCATTACCTAGTCTACTTCATGAAAGCCACTACCGACTTGGGGCCGGATACTATCACTTAGGTTCATCCATCAAGAACCCGGTTACGACCCAAAGAGGCCGTAACACCTAGTCTATGGAACTCACTCCCCAACGAAATAAAAGCTGTCCAGCCTATGCCTTATTCATAAGTAAAAGCAAAAAGTACTTAGTTTCATCCTCGTAGTTTCCTACCTAGAGCTTTAAACTCGTCCTGTATCTTGTGCTACCCACCTCCACCAATGCTTAAGACATTCACCTTCACCATTGTAATCACTGCTAATAACTTATATCATAGTTGTTAGGTTGAACATAACTTATATCATAGTAGTTAGGTTGAACATAACTTATATCATAGTTGTTAGGTTGAACATAACTTATATCATAGTAGTTAGGTTGAACATAACTTATATCTCAGTTGTTAGGTTGAACATAACTTATATCATAGTTGTTAGGTTGAACATAACTTATATCATAGTAGTTAGGTTGAACATAACTTATATCATAGTTGTTAGGTTGAACATAACTTAT